AAAACAAAGTAGTAATAATCACAAAAGAAATGCTGAAGAGAAGATTTTCTACATGTACAAATGGGGTACATTTACAGTATATAATGAAACAATTATGTCCCATTGACACTACAATTCTGTATTATACCCACAAAAACAGGAATTGGCCACTAAAATGTCTTCCTTAACTTTGTTCTGTTTAGGTGCTGCAGCATATATGCAAAATCACTTCATTCTATACAGACTGAATTCTTATAGTATCTAAGCACAACAGGTTAAGAATGGTGTTTCAGACTCTGAATTCCGTTGCTTTTTGTGGTTTAAGTAAGTGACACTGTATGAGTGTTGCTTCTGCGCAGTTTAAGCGCCCAAAACAGTGTCATGCCATTCTAATCTGTCAAACCATTCACAATCCTTAATATAGGAAACATTTTCCAAAAGGAAACAATATTTTATAAATCTAGGTCTTAATTAGATCTGATATTCTTAGGTTAAACAAAAACATCAAAATAAAGAAATTACTGTGCAAACACATACTACTTTGTGCATATCACTGTAGTTACCCACTAATTAGGCTACTTTTTATAAATTATACAAAGGCACAATCTGAAAATGTATTCTCTACCTTTTCTCATAATTAGCATCATAATTGTGAATAGTTAAAATTAATTACTAAATGAAAGGGTTATTTCTTCTTGGGGGGGGAGGAAGAGAGATCCTTCCCAATTCATTCATACAATATTCCTCAACTTGTGACATTATGCAGCTTTGCTTTTCATTGAAAAAAATCTTAAGTGATTATAAAGAGAAGATTAACCATTTAAAAATTAGACACAGTCAATATCATTCCCTACTTTTAGTCCTCTATACTGATTGTACAATGTTTTAAATTTTAACTCCTCTTCAAACTGACTAGAATACGTTAAACAGATTTGTACGAAGATCAGACAGGCATGGGACTGCGATTATACATCACAATACCCTTTTCTTGGTTCACAGCTCTATTCATCTTTTTGAAACACTGAAAGACAGATTGGACATAGGGGAACGGATTAGCCACAGGATGACCTGTATTTCCACACAAAAGCCTAAGTGTGGAAAAATGGCACCCTGTGTCACCCATTCTTCACTTCCTGAAAAAAACATATTCATGAAAATGGCCATTTAAAGAGCTCTTTCCCACTCATCTCAGAACAAAATGTTCATTGTTTTTTTTACATCATGTTGAGTGTACAACAATGTAAACTACTATTAAGTTACCTTAATTATATAACCTATATAAAATAATTTAAACTGAAATGGGATATTTTAAGTGGCATGTGTTCAGCAAAGCACAACAACAGAAAATTTACAGTTTGCAAACTCTACACTAGGAGGGTGCTATATTTCAACCATCTATCAATGTGACTGAATGTTTATTTGCTTTTAAAAATAATCTTAGCTGGATACTATCCGTTTATTTTAAGTAAAGTTCTGAATTCTATATGCTATGTTTTCAAATTTAAATTATAAACATATTTCGTACTAATATGTAATATATGGTTACCATGAATCAGTAAAATCACTCATTCAAAGTGAGTAGCAGGAAGATAAATACAGAAAAAAGATGTGATGACTGTAAAAACTGGGCAAGTTTAATCTTGAGAAGAAAAGACGGAGGGACGACCTGATAACAGTTTTCAAATATGTTACAGGCTGTTATAAAAGGGAATAGTGATCAATTGTTCTCTATGTCAATGGACAGTAAGACAATAAGAAACAGACTTCATCTGCAGCAAAGGAGATTTAGGTTAGATATTAGGAAAAACTTTCTAACTATAAATGTACTTAAGTTCTGGAATAGGCTTCCAAGAGATGTTGTGGAATTCCCATTACTGAAGGTTTTAAGAACAGTTTGGACAAATACCCATCAGGGACAATCTAGGTTTACTTGGTCCTGCCTCAGCACTGGAGGCTAGACCAGAGGACCTCTTGAGGTTCTTTCCAGCCCTCTATTTGTATGATCCTATGCAGCATTTTAAAGGGACTGTTATATGTAAATTTTATGATACGTTCTATCACCAATGGTCTCTAGAAATGACAATAAAAACTAAATATAACTTGTACACAACATACATGTACCATATAAGAAAAGAAAAAGTAGACCTTTACTTAATTTTATATAACTTTTTTGTAATTCAGGTATCTTCTTACACACAATATAGAGAATTGGAGTATGTGTCATTTGTACTGTCAGACTGTTTCAGAGATATGCTGTCAAGTAGTTTGATCAGGCTAGACAAACTGGCAACCCACTTGGTTGCTGTTCTGAGGAGAGATTAATTTGACAGCCCATAAGAAATGATCAAATGAAGGTACCTTAGCATTTAACTGAAGATTTTGGCTATATACCTGGGCCACAAACAATGGACCCAAGCTGTCCACAGGACTCTGATGTGCAATAAACTTAAATTCACCAGTTGCCAATAAATCAGTGTTTCAATATTATTATTTGGATTCAGACATTCTATTCTGTAACATCTCAGTGCAATTGTTTTTAATTAAAAAAAGAAGTCTATCAGAAGCAAGTTTCGGATGTTCTGAAGACAGGCAGAAGTAATCTGTCAAATGTATTCCATTGATGTATGTTCAGTAAACAAACATACTGGTACTGTAGGGAGATGATGAATGTTCTGATGGGGAAGTTGTTTGTTTTCCTCACTTTTTCCATGCTAACAAAATGTTTCTTTTTCCCTTCCACCCGTTTAAAAAAAAGTTAATTTTCCAATAAAAAAGAAAAGGGAATTTTTATTCCTTTAGGCAAAATGAGCACAACATGTAGGTGTTTTTTTAAAGAAACCCAAAACACTACCTAATGTTTCTCCTTCCCCTAAATAAATAAACTCAGCTCAATACATCTACACATAAAAACAGATCAGTCGATTAGTGATGGGGGGTGGGGGAGGGAGCTGTGCAAGACATGGAGAAACTATATGGAGTTTTACCCAATCCTATTAAACTGTACAATGTTATCACTCAAACTGCAGTGCAGAACACATACAGTGCTGAATGTGAATGTTACTTAAAAAAAAGTCAAAATGCTAATATTAAGATTAACCAAAATAAATGCATTCAGGCTGAGAGCTAATATGATACACACAATCCAGACTTACACTCTTTATACAGCTCTCTGTGTGTGTCTATTAAAAAAATGGGATGAAAATACTTTCGTCCACAGAAATACACAGACAGACACAGTTAATAAATTACCCTACAGGCTCAGAAGCACATCAGTTTCATCTAGTCATTTCACAGCAGAAGGACCATAAATATTGGTGGAGAAAATAATGCAAAATGTGCTAAAATACTTGGTTGGGTGGTCACTGATCCCTTCATTAAAAAAAGAAAAAGAAAATGCAATTGGTAGTTAATCTTTTTGGCCAACAATGCTAAAGAATACTTTCTTTTAAACTGTTATAAAGCCCTCCTTCCTATCGGATTATTTACGGTAATGAAGGTGTCAAAATATAGTAGTGAAAGCATAAAATTGCAAAACATGAAGGCAAATACTAACAAAATTAGCTTGAAATGAATGGCAATATATTCTTTTTTCCACAATGTCTTTAAAAGAGTTCCCTAATTAGGCAGAAAATATATGAACCTGCTATTGTGCTAATTTGTTTGACTATTAAATTAATGAATATCTGGGAGGCATTATACACATAACACAATTAAAGCATCTGTAGACCTCTTAAAAGAGAAATCTTTGGCTAACTTCTTAGTGTAGGTAGCTATATAAATAGCTCTTCTCCTACAACTAACCAAATCAACCCTGATGCTTTCTTAGTTTACAAATGCTTTACCAAATGTACAGTACTTCCTGGACTGACTCATGTAAATTACACACCAGTAAAGATCTTCCAGCGGCTGCAACATTGTCACTCTGACCAATCTTGAGTGAAACTTTGTCCCAGTCACACAGGACTTGCTTCACATTTGGTACAGCAAACACCCTAACCTACGATGGTTGTCACTGTTCAGTCAAGTACTGAGATATTTAGTAACGTGCACTAAAAAAAAACCCAGCTTGGATCCCAAAACACAATCAAGTAAATTGCAAGCGTTTTGACAACGTTGCGTGGTTTACAAAGCAGCAGCAGATCTCATTCCCCTTGCCTCCCCCACACACAAAAATTGTATGCACCCCTAACTCATTAAGCTCCCATCTTCACATTGCGTTTGTATCACGAATAACCAACGGAATCATTATTTCAGCAGAAAAAATGGGTTAGTTTCCTTGAGGAGGAGAAGGGGGGGGGGGGTGAAGAGGGGGGGAAACTGAACCGAAGGTTTCCTTCGCCGAGAAACGTCCTGTATCCACTTAACCAGAATGCATCTTACATTTTTTGTTTCCTTAAGGAAACAAAACATTTTCTCCACTGATTTGTGATGGTGATTTTCTGAACACAGCAATGGAAAAAACAAGAACCCTGGAACCATGCAAAAGGCCTCTCTGCCAGTTTTAGGGCAGCGAGGAGGAAAAGGAAGGAACCGAATGCCCAGAATTTGCTCTGCCCTGCCCTTTCCACAGAACTTTAGTGCCATCTATTGAAAATATATTGAATTTAAAAAAGAAAAAAAATAAGCCACTTATTGATTTGATATAAAAATAAGACATTTACTTGTGGTGGTTTTTTTGGTTTATTAATACTCAAACGATGACTAGTGATCCTCGGTCTTCCTAATAGCAGAAAATCTTGTCCATGCGCTAAAATATCTCATTAAAGCCATGAGACATTAAAGCTCAGAGAATGCACACATTATGTGTGTGTTTGTGTATATATAAAAACATAAAAATCAGGAATGCAAACCTACATCTAGCTACCTTCTAAATAAAAACAAGCGGTTTTAAAGTGGGGGGGGATACAGTAGAGCCAATGCTGTAGCTAGAACATACTGGAAACAATAAAAAAAATTAAGGCACCTAGTAAGAGACCTTCGCGCTGAAAGAACAGGGTACGTAGACATGCAGATATAATTACCTTCTTTAAGGAACTGTGAGCGGATGACAAATATAAGAAAACAGCAGATAGCTGCTCCTGCTAATGCCCATAAAGCTTTCAAGAGCTGCATCTCGGTTTGAAACTCAGTAAATACCCAGAAAGTCACACAATGAATTTCCACAGCGATGCATCAACGTTTCCCCTTTTGCGCCAGGCTCGGCTGCTCCCCAAGCAGTAACCACACTTCCGAGAGAGAGCGAGCGCTCAGGATTTGGGGAGGGGGGGAGGGGATTTACAACAAAGTCTCAAGCAGCAGCAGCACCATGATCTTCTTATGGACAGCAGCACAGAGGAAGCTGGGTCTGGGATCCATGAATCAGCTTTCTGTTTCCTCGTGAGTTGAGCAGCATTGAGGGTTGGGGAGGGAGTGAGGGAAGCAAATCTGGGCAGAATTGCGCAATAGCTCCCACACTGCTCCGGTGGGGGGTGCTTTTGCTGCTGCTGCTGGTGGTGGTTCAGTGACTGCTCCGGCTCAGCAGTGCTGGGAATGCGGGAGCCAGGCTTATCTGTCTAGGGCTCCGGGGAAGCCAGTGCACCATCACCCGGCTTGCTGGGTTACCTGTCCGGCGTCTGCCACCACAATCTGTGGAGAAGGGGGAGCGTGGGAATGGGAGGGGAAATCTCTCTTTACTGCAACTTCTCTAAGCTGATGATCACAATCTGAGCCACCCACCAGGTTTGGAGAGCTTCTCCCATTCAGAGCAAATCAATGTATCCTGTTATCCCGGGGACGTGTAGGTACCAGCGGGCCACGGTGCAGCTCCTGGCGTGCGCTGCCTTGCAAAGCCGCTTGCCTTCACTTGGGCTCTCACCTCCCGCTGCCTGATTCCGTCTTCGTCCGGATCCAGCCAGCAGCCGGGATGGGGAGCCCTCCCCCGGAAAGGCTGCGCTGTGCCGGGGCCGGAGACCTAGTTCACTTGCCCGCCTCCAGATTGAGGAGGGGTTGCATAAGTCTCTGTGCGCTTTTCCTGCTGCACCCGCAAAGCGCTTTCCAAACAGGTAGCTGCCGCAAAAGAAATCTCAGCCTACAGGTTGATGCCTCCGTAGCAATCTCCCTCGCGCGCTCACACGCACACACACACTCCAACAATACAATTCCCAAGCTTGGGGTGCTGCTGCTGCCGCCGCCGAGGGGGAACGAGCGGGTGCTGAATGATCGCAGCGGGTCGTTGGCGAGGAGCAGCTCCCGGGCCGTCGGGTTTGGAGGAAAAGCGGGAGGAGGGTTGGGGAGCTGCTGGCTGGCTGGCGGCAGAGAGGAGCTGATTTGTGAGGTTCTGCCCGATCGGCGCTCAGAGAGGTTGGAGCTGTGGGCTGGGTGTCTGGATTGGCTGCACGCTGCACATCTTCCACTCAGTCTCGGGTGGAGTTGGGCTGTAAGCGCAGCCTGGGGCTCGCTCGCTGGAGCGCTTCCTTTCGGGGTCGCGTTAGACCTCTAGGCTGGGCGTCTTGGTGGAGGCAAGCTCCCAGGGAGTATCGGGGCTTGTCGGCTCAGTCTGGCTGGGCTCACGCAGCGGATCTCGGTGTCTCTCCGGGTGCGCGGGGAGCGGAGGGCTGGGTGCCCGGAAGGTGCAACCTCCCAAGGTGTAGTTGTGTGGCTGGACGGCCGCACGCTGAAGATCCCCCTTTCTGGGTGTATTTGGGCTGCTGTAGGCTGGGTGCCTGTAGAGATGCAAGCGCTGCCTGCCTGCGCTGGGGCTGTGAACCGGGAGCCTGCCTGCATGCAAGCTCCCTGGAGGTACTTCGGCCGGGGGAGATCGGCGGCGGTAGCGCCTCAACGCGCCCAATCCCAGCCCCGCTCCGTCGCATTTAAACCCTGCCGGCTTCCCCTCGCAACTTTCCCCGATTTCGCTCCCCGGGTGGTAGTGAGCATGCCCGAGAGCTGAGCCTGCGCAGCGCTCAGCCGGCGCTCGCCGTCCGGATCTGCTCCCCGCTGGGCAGAAGAGGGGCAAGGTCAAGCAGGGAGGGGCAGGGAGGGGTCGAGAGGAGGGGGCGGGCAAGGAGCAACCCTGTGGGCAAAGGAACCAAAGCGGGGGGGGGGGAGCGGAGCGAAAATGTGGGAGAGGAAAAGGCCAAAGGAGCAAACACCAGGGTGCCAGGAGGGAAAGTGGGTGCAGAAGCGGGGCGACTAAGCAAGAATGGGAGAAGGGAGCAGAAACGAGGGAGGGGATCAGAGGAGTAAACATGGAGGAGAAGGGTTGGATCTGTGATGATCACACTTGTCCTTCCCTTTTCCTCCTCCCCACGCCGCTTCCTTGCCCGTGGAGATAACCCTCCAACCCACTACTGAGAAGCAGGGGACAAGCCAGTCCTCAACTCTTTTTTCTGGGGGCGGGGGTAAGGAGGGGACCGATTATTTCAGGTGCTGATTCTACACCCACACTGTTGGTGCTGGGGAGCTGGAGGAAAGAGGCCGCATTGCCCTTTCACTAGTCACCCTTTGCCCCTTAGAGAACCTGTGATTCAATCTCATTATTTGAAACCTGTAATGTACTGTGAGCGCGCCGGCTAAAGGCAGCACTAATAGGAAGCCGATTGTATAAAACAACCCAAACCCGGCAAGCATATGAGCAATGTGAGTCCTCATCTCTGGTATAACTCCATGGATTAAACTGACCGTTTAATTACCACTAGAATGTCATGCCAGTTCAATAAGCAACAGTTATTATTTTAGTTAGACTATTTGTCTCTACTTTTGTACAGTTTTATTGTAATATGTCAGTGATTAATATTTTCACAGGGATTTAGGGTGGATTGAGAATAAAGCTCATCCAATGATTTTTAAGGTAGAATTAAACTAAGAAAATAATCCTAAAAATTAGTCAGTGGTGTTTTGATATCTTTTTTGTTAAATGCTTAAAATATAGCTTGTAATAGGTGCTTCCATATATTTACAAGCCAATGGAAAAAAAGATTTACTCCATTTTAAATTAGAGATAAAATGTTGGTGGGCAGCTGTCTCTTGTTGTTGATCCTGCTTGGGATACAGTCTGTTCTCTAAGCTTTTTGGTTCTTCAGTGACAAAGAGTGGAGAAACAGTAAAAATATCTATCTTTTCATTTTTTTACTTCATAAAACTGCTATATCCCTATAAACCCATTTGCTGCCCTCATTTAAGATATTTGAAGATTGTAGTTTCACAGAAGCAACATTATAGTTAAATTTGAGATGTTCCATTTGTAAAACCTTTCATTCAGAACTGTACCTACAGAACTGTACCTACAGACCAAACCACATCTGCTTTCAGTCCACAGTTTGTGGGGTTTTTTTAATGTATGAAGAAAATCCATGAATTTGAGTTGTAACAGTATGAATAAAATTGAAATAACTTGTGATTTTTAGTCATTGGATAAAAATAGCTCAGAAATGGTTTTTAAAATGCATCAAACTTGGAATGTATGAGATCCAGAATGAGCAATATGGTCCACGTATTTGAAAATAATGGATTTGGAGATAAAAGTTTTGAAAAATCTTGTGCAATACATTTCTTTACTTATTGGCAAGTTTATGCAAGGACATACTCCAAGAGGGTCAAAATCTCCTCTTAGTTGCACCTGTGTCAACCCACTGAAATCAATGAGCCTAATTCATCTTGCATTTACACTGGTTTAAACCAGTGTGACTATTTAGGGGCTACTCCTCATTTAGGGTCTAATCCAGAGCCTATTGAAGGTTGTAAAGAGACTCCCATGTACTTCAGTGAACTCTGGAGTATATCCTTACACCATTAAGAGATCAGAATTCAAACTCAGTGTACAACACTGTGAGAGCAAAATTTGGTACAGAGCTCACATTGTAGAAAGCTATTCAGTCTCATAGCAACAAGAGTTTCCGTAGGAAATCCCATTTGGGAGGAAAGTGGTATCTGGCATGCTGTACTAAATATGGTTCAGCAAGTTTATATATTTTCTAAATATCTTGGACCTTTCAAGCAGAATGAGTCCTACTCAAAAATGACCTTTCAACATGTCAGCTGCATAGAGGTATATAAAATTTTAAAGATAATGGTATAGCTAAATCCAATAACAATATTGCAAATGCCCAGTGTAGCCGTATATAAATAAATCCCCTTTTAGAAATTTCCCTATGGCGGTCTATCAAGGGCAGGGAGAAGGTGGGGGGCAAGATTTGGTGTGTCACCCCAATGGAACAGGCCATAAGACCGACTTCCAAGCCCCACAGATCCTGAGGGATATGCAGAGCTATCTGTGCAGATGTCCAAAGCCTCTGTTGTAGCTCTGCCCCAGGTATCCCCCAGTAGCACAGATGCAATGGAGCAATGTGTTCTGGGGATATGCCCAAGCTGTGGCTGCTACCAGGGACACTAACCTCAGCCTGTATTTTCTTTTCCAATTAGAATTGATGGGGAGATGATGATGAATCCCAATCCCCTCCCCTACAAAGATGAGTGAAGGAGATAGTGTTACAGAAACATCTCAACTGCACTTTTGTAGAAGTGAGAGATCCCAAGCAGAAGGTACTCTCTAACCACAGAGCTGGTGGGGGTGGAAATGTTTCCCACGGTTATTGTCAGGGAGCAATCCCAATGAGTATTTGATGTGTGTGCTTATCCCGCTGCATGGAAGATAATAGGAGAACCATATAAAATTTCCAAATTTTTCTTTTCCCTTTTTTTAAGAAACACAAAGGCCTTGTAAAAATTGTGTCCAGATCAGCTCATTGTTTTTCTCTTACATCCCATACAATTTGGTAGTGATCATTTCACTATAGTATTATAAAACCGCTGTAAGAAACTCAGTAGCAAATATATATTTTTCTGTTTAATTCTGTAGGTTCATAGACTATAAGTAAGGCTACGTTTTAGTGACGGGTATTTTTAGTAAAAGTCATGGACAGGTCATGGGCAGTAAACAAAAATTCACGGCCTATGACCTGTCCATGACCTGTACTATACCCTGACTAAATCTTGGGTGCTTGTGGGTGTGCTGCAAGTGCTGGGGAGGTGACCCGGGGGCTGCTGCAAGTGCTGGGGGAGGAGGGGTTGGCGGGGCTGGCAGCCTCCCTACCCAGCTTCTCAGAAGTGGTGACATGTCCCTCCTTAAGCTCCTAGCTCTATGCACTGCCAGCTCTGCAGCTCCCATTGGCTGGGAACAGTGGACAATGGGAGCTGTGGGGGAGGTGCCTGTGGGCAGAGGCAGCACACGGATCTAGGAGCTGAGGGAGGGCGAGACATGTTGCCACTTCCGGGGAGCCCACCTAAGATAAGTGCTGCCCAGAGGTCTCATCCCCTCCCATGCCCCAGCCCCCCACCCTAAACCCCCCACCATCTCCTGCTACTGGGGGAGTGGGGGCCAGAGATTGCCCCAGCAGTGGCCAGTGCAACTGGCCCAGGGGATGCCTGAGCTGCTCGGACAGGCCCAGAGACAGCCATACCGCCACTGCAGAAGTCACGGAGGTCACAGATTCCATGACAGACGCGCAGCCTTAACTATGAGGCTAGAAGGGACCACTGTGATTTTCTAGTCTGACCGCCTCCAAAAACACAGGCCCTAGGATTTTCCTGAACTAATTTCTATTTGAACTACAGTATGTCTTTTAGAAAAATACCCAGTCTTAATTTTGAAATTGCCAGTGATGGAGAATCTACCACAACCCTTGGTAAATTGTTCCAGAGATTAATTACTGTTTAAAATGTGTACTTTAGTTCCAGACTCTATTTGTCTTCAGCTTCCAGCCATTGGATCTTGTTATAGTTTTGAAGAGCAAATATTTTTCCCCCCTGCAGGTACTTATAGACTGTGATCAAGTCAGTCCTTAACCTTCTCTTTTTTAATTAGATATACTCAAGGAGCTCAAACACCAAGGCATGTTTTCTAATCCTTTAATCATTATCATGGCTCTTCTCTGAACCTTCCCCATTTACCAGCTATACCAGGATGTAATGCCTAGTTAGTACATGTATGAAAGGAGCCCCATATAGATTCTTTACAGATGTGTAGGTGGTACACCCTTAAGAGAAGTGAAAGAGGTAGCTTGAGCTTTGGTAGAATGGGCCCTAACTCCATGAAGAGGGGAAGTTCCTCTTTGTTCACATCAAAACAGGATGCAGCTCAAAATCCCTTACAACAATTTTTGTGAGGAGATTGCCTCCCCTTTCTTCTGCTCAGTGATGAAAATGCTTGGGGGTTTTCCTAAAGGAGGCCTTTGTCCTCTGCAGGTAAAACAACAGTGTTCTACTGGCATCCAAAGAATGAAGCTTCTTGTCTTCTCTAGTAGTGTGAAGTTTAAGATGGAAAATGGGAAGATGCGTGGGTTAATTCAAAGTGAAATCAGAAATATCCTAAAGTGAATGTGGGCTGCAAACTCAAAGGCATCTTATATTTATGGAACATAATGTATGGAGGGGATGCCATAAGTGACCCAAGCTGTCTAGTGGAGGTAATTGCTATCAGGAAATCTACCGTTATGGAAAGATGTAGAAGAGAGCATGAAGCTAACAGCTCAAATGGTGGATTCATAAGCTCTGACAGTACCAGATTAAGGTCCCAATTCAGTGAAGCAGTTGATACTGGAAGAAAGGTTCTGAGAAGGTCTTTCAAAAACCTCATAGGCATAGGATGGGTGAATGAGCAATTTTCTATTGGAGGATGAAAGGCATTAATCGCTGCCAAATATACACACAGTGTGCTGATAGATAAACCAGATGTCTTTAATGCTAACAGACGCTCCAGGATAATAGGGAAGTCTGCCTCCCCTGGAGGCTCATGATGGTGCTAGCATCAGATAGAGAACCACTTCCATTTGGCTGTATAATATTTACTTACAAAGAATTTCCTGCTGTTATTGTGGATGGACTGGATCTCCTGAGCATGACTTCTCTACATTAGTCATCCATCCAAATACCAAGCTGTGAGATGGAAAAGCACTGGGTTGATGGATGGTCACTCTCTTATCCTGGGTCAGAAGATTTGGCAGCAGTCATAAATGTGTGGCTTAGGGGGCAGGGAGGGGTCAACTGGAGGATGGAGGTGAACTA